GTGGTGTGTGTGTTTTTGGTGTGTGTGTGTGTGGTGTGTTGTGTGTGTGGTGTGTGTGTGGGTGTGTGTGGGTGTGTTGGGGTGTGTGGTGTGTGTGTGTGTGGTGTGTGTGTGGTGTGGTGTGTGGTGTGTGTGGGTGTGTGTGTGGTTTGTGTGGTGTGGTTTTGTGGTGTGGGGTGTGTTGGGGTGTGGGGGGTGTGTGGGGTGTGTGGGTGGTTGTGTGGTGTGGGTGTGGTGGGTGGTGTTTTGGTGTGGTGTTGTGTGTGTGTGTGTGGTGTGGTGTGTGTGTGTGGGGTTTTGTGTGTTTTGGGGTGTGTGTTGTGGTGTGTGTGTGGTGGTGTGTGTGTGTTGTGTGTGTGGTGGGGTGTGTGGTTTTGTGGTTGTGGTGTGTGGGTGTGTGTGGTGGTGGGGTGTGGTGTGTGTGGTGGTGTGGTGTGGGTGTGTGTGTGTGTGTGGGTTTTGTGTGTGGTGTGTGGGTGTGTGTGTGGGTGTGTGTTTTGTTTTGGTGTACTCACCAAATTTGTACTCACCAAATTGTGGTTGCAAGGGGTCGAGCCAGCTCCTGGCCCGCCTCTTCCTGTTTGTACGGTCTCTCTCTCTCCTGCTTCCTGAGCTTTCATACCTCCTTAAAACTATGTATGGTTCCTGCCTCCCCCACTCACTTTCTAGGCTATTCCAGGCCTGACACTCTAGGGACTAAAGAAATACTTCCTAACTCCCTTTGATTCTCTGAGTCTTAAACTTCCATTGTGACCCCTTTTTCCCTGTGTCCCTCTCTGGAACACCCCTTCTCTTGTCCCCCTTTGTCTATTCCCCGCAGTATTTTAAATGTCGTTATCATGTCCCCCCCTGACCCTTCTGGCCTCCAGTGCGTCAGTCCGTTTTCCCCTTTAACCCTTTTCCCTTCTAGGAAAATTCCGAGCTCTGGGACTAGCCTTGTTGCAAACCTTTGACTTTCTCTAATTCTTGACGTGCTTGACCTGGTGTGGTTCCCAACTGGTGCTGCATACCCCAGTTATGGGCCTAACTAAAGGTGTACAGGCCTTAAACGATCCTTATTAGGTATCGGAACGTATCCTGGGTTTTTGCCAGGCCCTTATGCTGCAGCGGTTTTTTGGGTTGATGTGGCCCCCGGGATTGCTGGTGTTATTCACCCCGGGTCTTTTTCCCTGAGTGAGGTTTCAGTTTGGCCACACTATATTGTCTGCGGTCTTCTTTCCCCCTTCCCCAATCTTCATGACTTTGCATTTGGCTGGATTAATTCGGGAAGCCAGTTCTGGACCACTTGTCCAGCCTTCCAGGTCTCTTTGAGCCCTGCCTACCCGTCCGATTATTCTTCTCTTTAACTTCACTCTTGCAAAAAGGACATTTCCCGAGTCTTTTCCCTTCCTTATGTCTTTCACTATACAAGAAACACGGCCCTGGGACTGACCCCTGTGGAACCCCGTTTGTACAGGCGCCCACCTTGAACCTCTTCCCAACAACCATGACTCGTTGTTGCCTCCCTGTCAGTATTCCCTTTTATCCATTGCAGTGCCCTTTCCTTTTAGTTTTGCCGGGTCCCCCAGCTTTTGCATAACCTTTTGTGGGGAACTGTGTAAAGGCCCTTTCCCTTGCAGTCAAAAAACGAAATCCCCCAAAACCCCTCTCTCTCTGTCTTCTGTCACCTTGTCATAAAAACCCCAGAGGTTTGTGAAAAAGGATTTCCTCCTGAACCCTGCTGGTTTAAATTTATAACTTGTTCTTTCCGGGTGCACCACTCCCCTCCTGATAATCTTCTCCCTTTACCTTTTCAACAAAACATTAGGAACAGGTCTGTAGTTTAGTGCCTCTTCTGTTCCCCTTTTTAAAAATTGGGGGCTACATTTTCCTTTTCCATCTCAGGAGTTGCCCAGTTTCAAGGGGTGTGTTGAAGATTTGTTATGGCTCACACAAATCTCTGCTCCCTTTTTAAGGACCCATGGGAGATGTTGTCGGTCCCATGCCTTTGAGGTGTCAAGTGTCCAAGAGCTTCTTCACCTCCTCCTGGTTTTGTATTCATCCAACACTTGTTTGGTTTTCCCCGTGTTCTGTTTCTGGGGCTACGTTTCCACTGTAAAACCTTTTTTAAATCTTGTTAGTTTCCCCACTACCTCTTGTCTTTCTTGTGAATTCCCCACCCCTTCCTATCTGGGTTACCTTTGGGCCTTTGACTGTTGTTTTCCCCTGATGTGGCTTACAACAGTTTTGGGTCAGTCTTTTATTTGATGCTATGTCATTTTCATATGTCCTGGCCTCCCCCTTACCCGTGCTAATCCTTCTGGCTCTTCGGCTGATTTCCCTTTTTTCCTGAGTTCTCTTCCCTTTTGTACTTTTTCCATTCTCTATTCACCTGTTTTTGCCTCCTTACACTGGGTGAACCCGGGGGGGTTCTGGTTTTCCTTTTTGTTTCCCTTTGGGGAAAACCTTTTCCCCTCCTCCTTGCATTTTGTTGCTACATACCCACATTTCTTTTTGGTTTTCCTGCCATTCCTTCCCACGGGGATGCAGGAAGTTCTTAAACCCTATTTATCCCCCTTTTTTTTTGGTTTTCCCCACATCTGTTTTTCTTCCCTTGAGCTCATATGTATTTAAAACACAGAACCACTGGTCCTAGCTCCCCGGGGGGTTCATACTTTATTCCTCAAAGCACGAGGGGGAACACAAAGGTCCAAAATTTTCGGGTTATCCTCCCCTCTCCTTGGTTTGTGCCTAACATGTTGGTGCAAGGGTTTTTTTCCCGACCACTCCAAAAACCCGGGTCTCCATGTTTGGACCCCCCCTGGGTCCAGGTTTTCCCCCGTCAAATTCCTTTGGTTGAAAACCCCCCTAACCGAACTTTGCTCCAGTGGCTCTTCTTGCCACCTCGCGTGTGTACCCTTGCTCTGTTGCTCTCTTAATTTCCCCTTGGCCCCCTGGTTCTGTGGTGGTTTAAAAAACTGCAATACCATTTGGTTTTTCCCCCCCGAAGTGTCCTCAGTAGTCCCTTTCCCCCATCATTTCCTTTCCATTTTTCTCAACCATTTTTTTTTGACAGGCAACCCCCCCCCCCCCTCCCCTTTTTTTTTCCCCCAGATTTTGGTATCCGGTGGAAGATTGGATCTGTTATTTTCTCCGAGTTTTGTTTCTTAATGTTATGTCTGGGGTTTCTTTTGATTCTTTCTTTCCTTCCTCATTTTTTTTAATCCTCTGATTTGTTTCAACCTTCAACTTCTTTCTAATCCCGTAATTGGGGGGGGGTGGAAACAGAGGGTCGGTGTGTGATGGTTGGTTTGGATTGTTCAGTTGCTTGGGGGGTGTCGTGGCTGGAGTCCTTCTGCGGGTGTTTCTGGGGGGTGCGCTTGTCCTTCCATTTGATCTGGGTCCTTCTGCTCTCCTTTTTCATTTCCTCCCATTTCTCCTTTCGTTTTGAACTCTCTCTTTCATTGTCTTCCTTTCGTCCTGTGTTCTGTCTCGGTCGAGGTACACACTCCGGAAACTCCTGCTTGCCTCTCGCCGTGTGGTGTGTGTTGTGTTGTGTGTGTGTGTGTTGTGTGTGTGTGTGTGTGTGTAGTGTGTTGTGTGTGTGTGTGTGTGTGTGTGTGTGTGTGTGGATGTGTGTGTGTTGTGTGCTGTGTGTGTTGTGTGT